CCTCTTTATATCCCTTTTCTCTAAATCTTTGTAATAAAATGTCTGATTGACCTAAAAAGATATTTTCATCATCACAATTACGTTTTAATCTAATAAACTGGCTTTTAGGAATAGACTTTAACCAGTTTCTATGGTGACAGCTATGACTCGGAATGTATCCATTCCTATCAACCTCCTTGAAGTGCGTTTTAGTACAATATTTATCACCTTGTTTATAAATTGTAAGATCTAGAAAATCTATTGCTTCTTTACTGATATTATTAGTAAATGATATATTAAAGGGATTATTCCCCATTTCTTGAATATATTCCTCCAGTCCCTCTCTTGTATCTTTTCATATTATAATAATATCATCTATAAACCTTCTATAGACCAATAATTCCGAGTTCCTATTCTCAAAAATGGCTTTACTTTCCCACCTACTCATAAACAGGTTCACCACTGACGGCGCATATTTGGCTCCCATAGCCACACCCATTGCTTGCCTATAAAACTTGCTGGAATACCAGAAAACATTACGTGACATAGCCAAATCAAGGCTTTTAAGTATGAAATCTTTTTTTTTGAGATTTCAGTCCTGATTTGGTATCCAATGCCCACTTAACTGACCGTAATGCATCCACATGTCTAATATTCATATAAAGGGAATTCACATCAACACTTGCCATGACACAATCTCCTTCTTCTCTAATACCCTTAAGAACACTAATCAAATCACCACTATCCCTCAAATAAAAACAGGAACTAAGGGCTGCAAAAACTTATCAACATATTCGCCCAGTCTAGAAAACAGGGAATTGATCCCACTAATGATGGGTCTTCCAGGGGGTTTCTCTAAATTCTTGTGGATTTTTGGCAGTTGATATATAACAGATACTATTGGGGCATTGGGTACCAAATATTTACCCTCCTTTTTATTAAGTAAACCTTCCCTTTTCCCTTCTTTAATATGTTTTATTAGTTTAGCTTTATATTTTCTTGTGGGGATACCCCTTAGAACTTCATACGTACTGACATCATCAACTAGTCTGTTCAGTTCTGCATAATAATCACTTTTGTTTAGTATCACAACCCCTCCCCCTAGTCAGCTGGCCCGATTACAATATTTCTATGTTCCTCTAATTTTTGAAGTCCCCTTATTAAATCCTGTTTCCTTCTCAACCATGGGATAGTTTTCCAGATCATGTTCCACCATATTTTTAAATGTTTCAACACAACAATTCCCTATTTTAGGGTTAAATACAGACTTATTTCTCAATTTCGTGTGTAAATAGGAACTCCTAGTTCCTCTCTCTGTATCATCACTGATATTTGAATATGGATCATCACTTTCCCTATTTTTTATATGACCAACATTTTCAATAACCTTACTAGTTCTATTATTCCAATATTTCTTAAGATTCAACTTTCTAATAAATTTATGTAAATCAATATATGTTTCAAGTTTATTTAGCTTTTTATCCAGTGCAAATTTCAAACCTAAGGATAAAACCTTAATTTCCTCATCATTTAAAACACAGTCACTCAGATTAAAAATCCCTTGATTTACATCAACTTTTTTCTTTTTCCTCTGCCCCCCTCTGCATTCCCTCCTTCTACTTCTCGCCAGTAGGGGTTCCTTATATTTTTTATAATATCTCACAGTATACCCACCAGATCTTTTTCCCTGTTAAAGTACTTTTTAATGCTAAGTATATTTCTTCCTGCGTTATTGCTGTTTCCAGAGATTTTAATTGTTCCTCCTCTACTTTCGGTAGTCCCGCTTCTTCTAAATATGTCCGTCTTTTTTTTCTATTTTTCCTGCATCATCTTTACTATGGGCAATAATATTATATAGTTTATTATAATATTCTTTAAACACTTTAGCTATATCTTTAGTTGAATACACTGATTCCCTCTGTTGTCCCTTATTTTCTCTATATAGTTCCTGGATTTCTTTTTCCTCTGAGCCCTCATTAAATATTTTCCTGGTCTATCCTCCATCTATATCTCTCACATACCATTTTATTAAACACTCTTCTCTTATCTTCTTCCAAAAAATTATTTAATTCCTCTCTTTTGTTCATTACCCTCTGCATAATCTCTTTTGTTACTCTATATTTATGTTTCTGCTCTAACTCCCAGAGTTCATTCAGAAGCTTATTTATTTTTCTCTCCTTTCTCTCTTCTTTTTTGCTCCAATTGCTATCAGGATACCTTTGATATAGGCTTTATGAGTCTCCCACACCGTTGCCACAGACACCACCTCAAGAGTCATTTTCCTTAAAAAATTGCTCTATCTCTTTTTTAATCTTTTGATCTGTCCCTTGATCCTGGAGAAGTGTCTCGTTTAACCTCCACAATTTCCCCCTATTAAACTCATTTCCCCATAGTAATTTCATTGTGACCGAGTCACAATGAAGTCGATGGTCTAGCAATATATAATCCAATCTTGAGTATGTGTCATGTGCATAAGAATAAAATGTATAGTCTCTGTCCTTCATATGCTTAATTCTCCATATATCCACAAGTTGACATTGATATAACATTTTCTTTAAAATCTAAGAGACCTCCTCTCATCCCTCTGCACACGAAACGTCATATCTATCTGAGGATCCATACAAAGCTTAAAATCTCTGTCAGGGCTCCCGGGTGTGACCAGAGGTGTGTGACTGACGCAGGGAAACGCAGACTTCAGATATGTTATAAACAATGTAATTTATTAACACTAACAATACAAACATAAACGCAGTGCAATACTAAAACATAAACACAGTGCAAACGAACCAAACCAAACCACCCACAGATAACAGTACATACAATGCAAGCGTCGTCAGGCAGGCCGGGTCAATATCAATTGAGCAGGTAGGTACAGGGGGAGCAAGCGGAGAATGGTCGGGGTCACAAGCCAGGTTCAGCAGGTAGCGGGCAGCGTGGTACAGAGGGTCAGGCAGAGGAGAATGGTCAGACAAGCCAGGGATCAGGAGCAGGAGAATGGTCAGACAAGCCAGGGATCAGAGCAGGGTCAGCAGAGAATCAGACAGGAACAGGGAGCAGGAACAGGATACAGGGCCCAGAAGAAACACAACACCAAGGCAGAGTCTGCAGGTCTGAATGTCCCTTAAATACACCAGTATAATTAGTTCCAGGTGTTTGACTGGCTGCAAGGTTGAGTCTCTGATTGCTGGGAGCACCCGCTGGCCAGCCCTGGTACTGCAGCTTATAAGGCAGGTGAGTCCCACTATTGCTGGCCAGTCCATTCCTGACAGTACCCCCCCCTCAAGGAGCGGCCTCAGGACGCTCCAAACAGTCCTAGCTGGGCAAAATGTTCCACCGCCCGGGTCTGGTAACTGGCGGGATATCAAAGACTGGCACACCGGGCAGGACTCCGGGCAGGGCACACCGGGCAGGGGCACACCGGGCAGAGGCACACCGGGCAGAGGCACACCGGGCAGAGGCACATCGGGCCGGACTCCGGGCAGAGGCACATCGGGCCGGACTCCGGGCAGAGGCACATCGGGCCGGACTCCGGGCAGAGGCACATCGGGCCGGACTCCGGGCAGAGGCACATCGGGCCGGACTCCGGGCAGAGGCACATCGGGCCGGACTCCGGGCAGAGGCACATGGGCAGAGGCACTCCGGGCAGAGGAACATCGGGCCGGACTGGGCAGAGGCACATCGGGCCGGACTCCGGGCAGAGGCACATCGGGCCGGACTCCGGGCAGAGGCACATCGGGCCGGACTCCGGGCAGAGGCACATCGGGCTGGACTCCGGGCAGAGGCACATCGGGCTGGACTCCGGGCAGAGGCACATCGGGCTGGACTCCCGGCAGAGGCACATCGGGCTGGACTCCCGGGCAGAGGCACATCGGATTACCAGGCGAAGCAGCAGGCAGCGGGCCACCAGGCGGAGCAGCAGGCACCATCGGGCCACCGGGCGGAGCAGCAGGCAGCGGGCCACCCGGGCGGGGCGGCAGCGGGCCACCGGGCGGAGCAGCAGGCACCGGGCCACCGGGCGGGAGCAGCAGGCAGCGGGCCACCGGGCGCGGCAGCAGGCACCGGGCACCGGGCCCCGGGCGGAGCAGGCACCGGGCCACCAGGCGGAGCAGCAGGCGCCGGGCCACCAGGCGGAGCAGCAGCAGGCGCCGGGCCCCCCGGTGGAGCAGCGGGCCCCCCGGCGGGGCGACAGGCATCGGGCCCCCCCGGCGGGGGCGACAGGCATCGGACCCCCAGGTGGGGCGACAGGCATCGGGCCCCCAGGCGGGGCGACAGGCATCGGGCCCCCAGGCGGCGGGGTGACAGGCATCGGGCCCCCAGGGCGGAGCGGCGGGCGCCGGACCCCCAGGCGGAGCGACAGGTCTCGGGCCCCCAGGTGGAGCGGCGGGCACCGAGTCACCAGGCACGACAGTGGGCTCCGAGTCATCTGGCAAGACTGCGGGCACCGAGTCGTCTGGCAAGACTGCGGGCACCGAGTCGTCTGGCAAGACTGCGGGCACGAGTCGTCTGGCAAGACTGCGGGCACCGAGTCGTCTGGCAAGACTGCTGGCACCGAGTCGTCTGGCAAGACTGCGGGCACCGAGTCATCTGGCAAGACTGCGGGCACCGAGTCGTCTGGCAAGACTGCGGGCACCGAGTCGTCTGGCAAGACTGCGGGGCACCGAGTCGTCTGGCAAGACTGCGGGCACCGAGTCAACTGGCAGAACAGCGGGCACCGAGTCGTCTGGCAAGACTGCGGGCACCGAGTCGTCTGGCAAGACTGCGGGCACCGAGTCATCTGGCAAGACTGCGGGCACCGAGTCGCCTGGCAAGACTGCGGGCACCGAGTCGTCTGGCGGAACAGCGGGCATCGAGTCATCTGGCAAGACTGCGGGCACCGAGTCGTCTGGCAAGACTGCGGGCACCGAGTCGTCTGGCAAGACTGCGGGGTCGTCTGGCAAGACTGCGGGCACCGAGTCGTCTGGCAAGACTGCGGGCACCGAGTCGTCTGGCAAGACTGCGGGCACCGAGTCAACTGGCAGAACAGCGGGCACCGAGTCGTCTGGCAAGACTGCGGGCACCGAGTCGTCTGGCAAGACTGTGGGCACCGAGTCGTCTGGCATTGGATCGTCTGGCTCGACAGCGGGCATCGGGTCACCAGGTATGACAGCGGGCACTGGGTCACCAGGCATCAGGTCATTTGGCTCGCCAGCGGGGGCACCGCGTCATCTGGCAAGGCAGTGGGCACCGAGTCACCAGGTACGACAGCGGGCTCTGAGTCAATTGGCACGACAGCGGGCACCGGATCAGGTACCGGATCATCTGGATCAACAGCGGGCATCGAGTCAACTGGCCTAATAGGATCATCAGGCTGGATCAGTTCATTATGCTGGGTAGAAGCATCCGGCTGAGTAGAGGCATCCGGCTGAGTAGAGGCTTCAGGCTGAGTAGAGGCTTCAGGCTGAGTAGAGGCTTCAGGCTGAGTAGAGGCATCAGGCTGAAGAGAGGCATCAGGCTGAACCACGGAAGGCAGGTTCTCAGACGGCAGGCTCACTGGTTTGGATACTGGCAGGATGGTATTGGTTGGAAAGAATTTTCGCTTTTTTTTCTGGTTTTAACTACTGGAGCACTGCAAGTAAACGCAGGTCTGCAAACGAATGGAGCAGCTGGAGACAGAGAAGAGCTGGAGGATGGAACAGGGGAGGGAGCAGTTGCTACAGAGGGCTTTTTTACAGGGTTAAAGGCAGGATAGGTGCAGCGAGTGGGAACAGGGTACTGACATGTGGTAGATAGCAGGGCAGGAGGAGCTGTTGGGAATGCAGGAATAGAGCTTTGAGGAAATAGATTAGAAGCAGGACTGGGTCTTTGTAAGCTGACTGAGGCTGGGTGCAACAAATCTGTCCATGTCTGCAGTATGGGTTGAACAAAGCTGAGCTTACACAAAGCCTGTCTGACTAAAGACTGCACTGCGTTTATACAATCTCTTAGTATCTGTGGTGAACATGCAGCATAATGCTCCAAGAAGCAATCCACATCATCCTCTAATAACCATACCAGGGACTCTACCTGGTCGGCACTAAATGGCGGCAAAAATTCATCCCTGCATTCGGGGGTACCAGATGAAACCAACTCCGCACAGATCTGAATCAATGGCTGCACCTCAGAGAATTCTGTGCCCTGATCTACTAGAACATGAGCGAGCCGTATACATTCTAGCAGTTCATCCCGGGGATACTCCTTCAGAGTTTGATAAGCATACTCTCTGTCATCAAACACTAGCAGATATAAATACACAACCTCATCAAGATCCATCCTTCCCAGCAACAAGCCAAGATGGCTTCCCTGTGCAGCCACTTCTGGTCAGGATTGGCCTTGGTGTAATGTCAGGGCTCCCGGGTGTGACCAGAGGTGTGTGACTGACGCAGGGAAACGCAGACTTCAGATATGTTATAAACAATGTAATTTATTAACACTAACAATACAAACATAAACGCAGTGCAATACTAAAACATAACACAGTGCAAACGAACCAAACCAAACCACCCACAGATAACAGTACATACAATGCAAGCGTCGTCAGGCAGGCCGGGTCAATATCAATCGAGCAGGTAGGTACAGGGGGAGCAAGCGGAGAATGGTCGGGGTCACAAGCCAGGTTCAGCAGGTAGCGGGCAGCGTGGTACAGAGGGTCAGGCAGAGGAGAATGGTCAGACAAGCCAGGGATCAGGAGCAGGAGAATGGTCAGACAAAGCCAGGGATCAGAGCAGGGTCAGCAACGAATCAGACAGGAACAGGGAGCAGGAACAGGATACAGGGCCCAGAAGAAACACAACACCAAGGCAGAGTCTGCAGGTCTGAATGTCCCTTAAATACACCAGTATAATTAGTTCCAGGTGTTTGACTGGCTGCAAGGTTGAGTCTCTGATTGCTGGGAGCACCCGCTGGCCAGCCCTGGTACTGCAGCTCATAAGGCAGGTGAGTCCCACTATTGCTGGCCAGTCCATTCCTGACAATCTCTTGCCACAATTAAACTACCGTTTTTGAAATCCATTAATTTCCTCAGCATATTCTTTAGGAACTCCTCCGGTTTCTTGTTTGGGCAATAGATATTTGCTAGTGTACACTCCCAATCCTGTAATTTCCCCTTCAGGAACAGATATCTCTCTTCGGGGTCTACCACACTGTCTTCCAAATTAAACCTGATATTTTTTGCAAAACCTATTGCCACTCCTTTGGCTGGTTAAATTGGGGAATCTGCATAGTACAATATTGGAATTTAGTTTCACATTTGCTTCTTGTTCTAAATGTGTCTCCTGTAAAAAAAAAACACTAAAGAAAATCTGTGCTGAATTTCTTTAAAAACCCCAAATTTCTTCCCAAAGCTATTTAAACCTTTAACATAAGGTCATAAAATGAATCTCTTCCATTCTTCATTTCTGCTCCTCCCATCTCCCTCTTCCCCCCTCTCCTCTCCTCTCCGTATCTTCTCCTTTTTTTTCTAGGTTTTCTCCAGACAGATATATTTCTTACTATTTTGCAGAGTCTAAAACTACCTAAAACTTCCCCCATACCCTCCGCCCATCCCACCCACCCTCCCCCCCCCACTCCCTCCCATCCCCCCCCCCCTCCCTTTTTAAGCAAATAATTAGCCTATGAATCATTTGTGGTCTAAGTCCCACCCTTGATTCCACTTTAGGGTGAAGCTCTTGAACATAGCCACCTTCAACCCATTTACTCTCCCCCAGCATCTCGTCAGCTTAACCAAAAGGAGGAATATTTGAAAGAAGAGGAAAGAGGAAAAAAAAAAAAAAACCCTCTCCAAACATAAAGAGAAGAAAAGAAAACCTCTTCCTAGGGAAAAAGAGAGGAGAGAAGGAGGGCAGTGGGGAAGGAAAAAAAAACCCAAACACACAAGGAGGGAAAACCTTTCTTGGTACCCTCCTCTCCCCCTCCCCTCCCTACATCCCCCTCTGATTTCAAGTTCTTTTCCGGACCCCCCCCCCACCCTTTACTTTCTATATATTCCCACTTTCTTCCTCCTCCTCACCCCATCCAGGAATATCTATATACTGTATTGCAACTCTAGCCTCTCACAGAAGGCCCTCAGTTCATCAGGAAACCTTAATTTGGCATAACGTCCATTTCTCCAACCGATTAAACATGCTGGGAACCCCCAACTGTATCGAACGTTCTGCTTCCTCATTTGTTCTACTAATGGTTTCAAAATTCTTTTTCTTAACAATCTCTGCAGCAAGGTCTGCAAAAAACTGTATATTTAATTCACCATATTTTATAGTTGTTCTTCCTTTCATCCTCTTCCGGATCTCTTCTTTATCACAGTAATGATGGAGTTGAACTATAACATCTCTCGGGTTACCTTTTCTACCTTCTTGTTGAAGTCTCCCAATTCTGTACACCCCATCTATTTTATACAGTTCCGCTGCAGTTCTTTCCATTATTCTAACATTTTCTCTGTTATTTCCCTCAAGTCTTCTCCTTGAGAGATCTCTGGGAGACCTCTTATCCTTAGGTTATTTCTTCTGAGCCTATTTTCCTGATCTTCAAATTTACATAGCAGGTTTCTGTGTTCTTTTTTCACTTCCACCATTTGTTTGCCTATGGACGGAATCCCTTGGGTGTGTGTTTACCTATTTTTTCCTCCGTCTCCTCTACTCTAGATAGCACCTGCCCCAGATCTTTATGTAACTTCGCCATTACCTGTTTTATAGATTTTTCCAAACATTCCTGCAATTTCTGATTTAGTTGGCAGATGTGTATCCTGCTCTTCTAAGTTCTCCTGCAGACCTGTTTTCTGAGCGTCTGCTTCTTCCACATTTTGGCTAATATTAGGTAGTCCCAAGAACAATCTGGAGCTTTCTGCAATACTGTTTTCCAACAAACACTTTTCATTTGTTTAAATTTGCCTCTCAGGAGTCTGTTTTTCCTGCCTGGAAGTATATTTTTTAATTGAACTTCATTGCAGGGCCTTTGACCCACCTCCTTTTGTTGCCTTGTTTTTCATTTTTAATATATATATGATAATTTAGGTACTTCGATATCCAGATATTCACTTCTCCAACCATATATTTTTCCTTCTTCTCCTTCTTCTCTTCTCCTTCACCTCCTCTCCACCCCTATGTCCTCCTCTCCTCCGTCCCCCTCTTTCCCCCCACAGGAACTCAAGATCTTTTCAAAACTTCTTTCCCTTGTATAACCTTTAAAAAACTTGAATCCAAGTCCCTCATTAGTCACCCAGATGACCCCCTAGATGCAACCCCCATGATTCAGTCCATCAAACATTTGCTTCCATCACATAATCACTAGTTAAATCATTTCAATTATTTCAAATATTTGAAAAAAATCTTCTGCCACTCACCCAAGTTGTTCTTCCTTCACTTCAAAGAGGGGGGGGGGTGGTGTCTAGATGTTCGACCAAAAGGGGGTTGCAAGTAGATATAGCTCTCAAATTCCGTTCGACATTGGGGATCTTTTGGTACTGGGGATCTTTGGGGAGGTGAGGGAGACAGAGAGGCCCGAGCAGTGTGTGTCCCTGTATGCCGTCCGGCTTCTCTCTCCCTGTGACACACCTCCTCTGCCGTCGGTCATGTGTCTGCCCGGCTTCCTCCAGTCTCCGCTTACCAGGACTCACCGCTTCCTCACGCTCCTCTGGATCTGCCCGCTCGACCACATCCCCCTTTCACTGAGGTCCGCGGGTGACAGACCAGACAGCCCCGGAGCCATAGCAGGTGAATCCCCTCTGCCAACTTCGATCGCCGTGCTTGCTGGCGGGACGCTGGAGGAGCAGGGTGCCGTGAGATCTCACCTCGATCTCATGATCAGCGCCATGCCAAGGCTCCTCCCCTCCATCCTTAAGCAGGCAGTGTTCACCGATCCAGGCATTCATGGCCTCCTGTTTTTATATTCATTGTTGTAAATAAAAGTTACAGTTAACTTTGACATTACACTGTGTTGTGGCCTTCTTTAGCCTTTGCAGGTAGGCAATCTTCTTCCTTGCAGTTGGAGTTGATCTGCATGTCCCTAAAGCATTGCAGTACTCTGCTAGCTGCAGCTGCAGTGGCCAATCTTGCTTACCTTGAATTTTTGGTAATGTCCAAACTAAGTATATTCTGGCAAGTACAGCTTTAAGACTGTAGCAGATAGGCTTGCATGTTTTCAAGAGGTAAATAAGCTACTTCAGTCCTAAGCTAGGATACATAAAGATTGAAGTTGTCTGCTTGCTGTCTGAGGCTACTCTCAGTCTTTGCTTCCTCTTGGGAAATGCCACAACAGTTTACACAGATAACTCCATTCATGTTACATTGTTCACGTTTGTAGTAGCTCTTCATTCCATCCAGGGAATTCTATGTAACAAGTGTCCACAAATTCCATAGGCACACATCTAGAATCATGCAGCTAAAGATCCTATGCTCCCCAACAAATCTAGGGGCAAGATGTTACATGGTATGTGTTCTGTCTCTCCAATCTAAGAATTGAAAGTGTGATCTCTGTAACTTACAGTTGTGATGAGATAGCGATAACTCCAATCTTAGTTGAATAACACAGGCATTGACTCAATCCAGATGACACCTTT